AGAATCACTGCAGTCCAGACACTGGGCCTCTTCAGACAAAAATTTGGCCTGGTGGCTTAAAGTGGTAGAGCTGGGCACCAGGAATTAATGGGTAAGGTTGCCAGCTTCAAAGTGGGGTCTGGACAGCTCCCGGAATTGTTACTTATCTCCAGACTACACAGACCAGTTCTTCTGGAGAAAATGGCAATTTTGAGGTGTGTGTGTGGAATTCTATGGCATTAGGCCTCACTGAGGCCCCCTCTCTCCTCAAGACCTGCTGTTCCCAGGCTCCAGCCCCAGATCTCCAGGAATTTTCCAACCTGGAGCTGGCAACCCCGTATGGGGTCTCGACGCAAAGAACTAGACATGACGCCAGAGGAAATCAGACCAGTTCGTGGAGAATAGGCCCATTGGTGGGTATTAACCATGGCAGCAAAATGAAACCTCTATGCTCAGAGGTAGTGTACCTCTGAGTGCCAATTGCTGGGTGAGGCAGGGCGGGAGGAGAGGAAATGACAGTAGAAAATCTTGACCTCCTCTGCCCTGCTTGTTTGTTGGTGTTCTGGGGCATTGCTGGTCTCTGCAGGAAACCCGCAACTGGACTAGATCAACCCTTAGTCTGATCCAGTGGGGCTGTAGTTAACGTTTTTATGCAGTTGTGGAATGTGTGTTTGGAGGGGGGGGAGGTGACTAGTGTGTAGGTTCCTTCCTGTATGGGTGCAGACAAATTTGTGTGCCTTCTTGGTAACATGTCATAACTCCGAAGTTCCAGTTCTGACTGTAGTAAGGGGAGAAGAGGAGACATTGAATCTATAACTGTGAGACCCGTGGTTACCTCAGGCAGTAATATTTGAGAACAAGGGGTATATATGAATGGCAAAGGAGGGTATAGGGGATATGAGCAGAAGGTCAGTATAGCATGCATGCCTGGTTTTCTCTAGAGAGTGTGTTATGAGTATTTAAGTAAAAGATTTCTTTTTTCAGAGGGGTAGCCATGTTGGTCAACAGTAGAAGAGCTAGGCTGCAGTCACACACACTAAATAACCGACTTTTAGTCCTCTTTCAAAGCACTTTTGAATTGGATTTTGCCGGTTCACACAGTAAAAATCCAGTTGGAAAGTGCATTCAAAGTGGACTATTTAGTGTGTGTGACCAAAGCCTTTGATTCAAGTCCAGTAGCTCCTCAGAGACCAACACGATTTTTGAGGTAGAAGCTTTGGAGAGTCAAAACTCCCACTGGCAAATCCAAATCAGAATGGAAATCCCCGAGTCCTTCTATCCCAGTCAGAAGTAAAAGTGAATTTGGAAGAGATCACCGGCGTTGAGGGTTCTAATCTCTGTGTCCATATTTGTAGAAGGCGGAAGAGTTATACTATCTGAAGATAAACCAGTGTTGGTGTTTGTGAATTTGACACCACAGGAAGGTATTTATTTTTTTTGTCCTGTATTAATCCCCGGCAAATAGGAGTGAGCTTGTGAATGTATCGGAGAAGTGAAATATATTTGTGGGTGGGTTTTGTTGTTGTTTTTACAGTGTCAGGGCTCCAGCGTCCCCTAGGAAGGGAGGGGATCCCTGTGGGTCACAGCAGGGCAAAGTGGGACAAATGGGTTCTCTAGTTGCTGGCCCCACTGCATTAAAACCGAGAAGGAGATAGCCGCTTCTGGGTTCTTGGGCAGGGCGTGGCAGCCCTAGCAGGTGGTTGCCTGGCAAAGGTACGCTCAGCGGGTTGCACCTGCCTTGGTTGGCAGCCAAAGGGCGTCACCAGCCGCCCTTTGCTCTTTGTGGGAAGGAATGGAGCCACATCTCCCACCCCCCACAACACACACCGTCGCACGATGAGGACATTCTTTCTTTCCCCCCTCCTCCTCTCTTCCCCCCTCCTCCTCTGAGCCACCACAAAAATCCATCCTGGCTCCCCAAGGGCCTTGATCCACAGCCTTCCCCCCCCAAAAAAAGGCTTTTTGTTATGGATGCCAGTTCTCCCAGAATTACAACTGACCTCCAGACTACAGAGATTAATTGTCACAGAGAAAATGGCAGTTCTGGAGGGCAGAGTCTATGGTATACCATCGCCTCTAGGTGAAATACTTCCCCAGAGTCTCCCCTCCACGGGCGCTGTCCCCAAATCTCCAGGCCAGAGTTGGCAATCCTGTTTTTGGTCCCTGGCAGACAGGCAGTTCTGATACAGTCGAGATCAAAGTGCCTTTGCGCATAGATGGAGTACTTCCCCCTGATAACCGTGATCACAGATTGGGAATGTATAACTCCTAGGTCATCGCACGTGCCCAGGGTCCTCCCGCCTTGGAGTCCATGCCAGGAATCGGGGGAACCCCCCCCCCCCAGGCTTTACTCAACTGAGTAGAACAAGAGAAAGGCTATGTCTAACATGTATGATGCAAAAGAATAGCAACGAGCACTCTTTGCAGGCCTGTTCGTGCAGAGAACTAGCAAGGCCCCATGTCGTAGCGGAGCAGGTCCCCGTGGCCAACTCCAGTGGCGGGAACAAGGGCTCGAGTGTCTGGCTCCAGCGGCCCGAGCAAAGAAGGCTGTTGCTTGCACCAGCGAGCCCAGCAGGGGCCTGGTCGGTGGTGGCGGGAGCTGGAAAATCTAGCTCATCAGCCAGATGCTTCCTGGGGTCTCTGAGCTGGAGATCAGGAATGAGAGTCTCGGTGCTTGGGTTTTATGGGAAGAGAGAGAAACCCAGCAGGCGCTTGAAAGAGGGTGGAGGTTTGGGTGGGAGGTGGGATTCCTAGGGTCTCTTCCCATCTGGTTTTCTAGTGTTTCCTGTCTGCATTTGTTCCTAACTTCCTTGCCTGTGAACAGATCTGCTATGGTTACTTGGGTCGGGAGCCACATATAGGTTGTAGCTTGACCACAGGTAGATCATGCCGATCGCATAGCAATTGTTGCTTTTTCCCCCCAGAATCGAAAGCCTGGAGGGAGGAGGAGCGATAAAGTGGAGGTACAGCAACACTATACTTATTTAACCGTCCACAAAAAAGCCCTGGGAATTGGAGTTCAGCATAGTTGATAACGATTCTGTTGCAGATCTCTGTCACTTTTCTGCCCCCGAACTGCAATTAGCAGGGGTCCCTGCAGAGCTGGAATTAAACTGGCATGATACCCGTGTTGCCTACATGGCCTGAGATGGAGGAGAGGGGAGAAGGAGGGGAGAGAGATGCTTAAAAAAATGGGTCTCGTGCTGTTGGCTGGTGATGAAAGGTAGATCCTCAGTCTAGCCAAAGACTTACTGGTCCAAAGTTCTGTGCATGCATGTCGATTTCTTTCCATTTCAATAGTTTTGTACCGGGTAGGGTTGGAAGCACCAAGGGGTATTGCAAACTACTGTGGTGATTTTGTAAGGCACCCTCTGTTTTAAAATGACTAAATATTTTTGTTCCAATTTTCTCCCTTGCCTCTGTTGATTCTTTGGCCTTCAATTGCGGTTATTAGGAATGGGCTAATCGTAGGGATACATTACAACCTCCCACGCCAACTTTATTTGCTGGAATGCATGCCCAATGAATAGGCTCAGCTGGGAGATGGTTTAAACGGTCGGTTTCTCTGTATGTGTTGGAATGACAGTGTCAGGTCTCTGCTGCCTGCCTTTTCTACCTCCTCCTCCCTCTCTCTCTCTCACATGTCCACACCAACATGCCCAAATCCTACAAAAAGGAAATGCAAATCTGGCAATACATGGAAGCTACTTTTTTCCCCCTTTTTCTTTTTTACAGCTAGAGGTTTTGCATAGCTTAAATACTGTATGTTTCACAGAATTGGCTTTGCAGCAATGGACTGTTCCAGGAGGTGGAACATTGTGTTTAAAGGCTAGTGATGAAGAAGAGAAAGAGCTGGGGAGAAATGTTTGTTTTGTCCTCACAGTTTCAGGGGAAACTGGATTTTTTGTAGGGAGGGAAGGGGGAGATTAAAAAAGGAATTTGTTCCGTACGTACATCTGAATACGAGAACACTGAAACACCAGCTTCTTTCCTGTTTTCAGGCACAAACCCCTCCCTGAGCTCCGCTGCCATCTCCTCTCCTAACCCACCAGAACCACAGCCTTCTCGCTGGGAACTTGAGAATCTTTGATTCCAGGCACCCTGTTGGCTTTTCCTCAGTTAGACCCCCACCTTGCCAAAAATCCAGATTTTATTTCCCAGCAATTGCTCTGTAAACACAACTCTCTCTGTTGTTGGCATTGTAATGTTTGTGTTAGACGCTTGGAGTCCCAAGGATTTGGATGAGTTCTGTATTTGGGGATCAAATGACTGCTATAAATATTTCCATGCTCTCTCTTCCCTCCCCCCCTTCCCCCAAATGTGCATTTTTCCCTCCAGAGAAAGAAAATACCCACAGCCCTGAAATTTTCCAGATGTGTTACATCCCTGATTCCAGAAAAGGGAGCAGAGAGAGGGAGAATGCGTAGGGAGCAATGAAAATGTCTAGAGCAGATGGACCTGTAGAGAATATGACTTGTGAGGGGCTGTGGCTCAGTGGAAGAGCCTCTGCTTGGCACGCAGAAGGTCCCAGGTTCAGTCCCCAGCATCTCCAGTTAAAAAGGACCAGGCAGTAGGTGATGTGACCAACTCCAGCCTGAGACTTTGAAGAGCCGCTGCCAAGTCTGAGTAGACAATACTGACCTTGATGGACCATGGGTCTGATTCAGTATAAGGCAGCTTTGTGTTATGTCATGTGATCTGCTAATCATACAGGGTGATGGGGTACCTGACAAGAAACAGGTACCAAGGACAGGGTGGAGTGGAGGTTCTTTCAGAGGGTAGCCGTCTTGATCTGCAGTAGAAGAGCTCGGTTCATGCCTGGCGGCACCTTAGAGACCAACAGGATTTTGGGGGCATAAGCTGTTGAGCATCAGAGCTCACTTTGTTAGATCCAAAGGGTGCAGTGGCGTTGTGGGACAGAGATATCAGGCCTGGGATTTGGGATATTCTGGAGGGGGGGGGTCAGGACTGACCTGTTATCCAGATGTGCCCTGGCTCATCATTTCTTTTTTCCATCCCAGCCATGGCTGTCCGGGCCCCTGCACCGCGGGGTGACGCCAGCGCCGAGAGATATCTGTTTGTGGACCGGAACCAGGTGGGAAACCCGGCGTCCCAAGCAGATTGGACGGCCAAGCGGCTGGTGTGGGTCCCATCGGAGCGCCATGGCTTTGAGGCGGCCGGGCTACGGGAGGAGCGGGAAGACGAGATGCTGGTGGAGCTTGCCGAGAACGGGCGTCAGGTGCTGGTCGCCAAGGACGATATCCAGAAGATGAACCCCCCCAAGTTCACCAAGGTGGAAGACATGGCGGAGCTGACCTGCCTTAACGAGGCCTCTGTGCTGCACAACCTCAAGGACCGCTACTACTCGGGCCTCATCTATGTGAGTTGGGTTGTCCGGGGCGGGGGGGGACCCAGGAGGAGTCCAGGCTCCCCGCTGCTCCTTCTCTTGCTGCGTACGTAAATAGCGAAAAAACTGTAGAATAAGCTGCTAAGCAAATGATACAAAGTTATTTGAATGTAAAAGTATAATATACAGATTGAGATAACAAAAAATGCAAACTCCGACAATGCAATCATAAATGACAATTATCAGTGAAGATTCCAGGAGTATGCTTTGTTTCGAGTCCTTTCTTCTTCAGAGAAATTTACATGAAAATAAGCAGGGGTCATTTCCTGCAGGAGCGCACAGGAGCGGAGCTCCGGCAGTAAAGCGCCCAGGGGGCGGGCACAGGCAACAAGCCCCACCCCCTGCTCCCAGAAGCCCTCAGTCAGAGCAAGAAGCAGCCAGGTAAGTTGCAGAGCCCCCCCCCCGCCCCCCGGTCCAAAACAATGGCACATTTAAGTCCAAGTTTTATTCAGATACAAGCTCTCCCTCCTCTGCCAGGACAGATCTGCACCCCACCCCCCAATAGCTAGCAGTCCAAAACAGTCCAGTGGAGACTGAGAAGTGGGTGTTGCCTTCTGACATGCTTCTGGTGATGTCAGGAGGTGTGGCATATGCAGATAAGTTATGCTAATGAGTAATTAGCTCCTGCACCTCTTTTTCTACGAAATGACCCCTGAAAATAAGAATTTGTAGTATTCTGTATAGGGCCACAGTGGCTCAGAGGTTAAGATGCTGAACTGCAGACTGGAAGGTTGGTGGCTCGGCAGTTCGAGACCCGAGTGCCACGTGACGAAGTGAGCTCCCGTCTCTGGTCCCAGCTCCTGCCAACCTAGCAGTTCGAAAGCAAGAAATTGCAAGTAGATAAATAGGTACCACTTTGGTGGGAAGGTAACAGCGTTCCGTGCGCCTTGGCATTTAGTCATGCCAGTCACATGACCACGGAAACATCTTCGGACAACGCTGGCTCTTCGGCTTGGAAACGGAGATGAGCACTGCCCCCTAGAGTCGGATTCGACTGGCTTTCAAGCAAGAGAAACATTAGTATTCTGTATATCACAAAACGATTTTAAAGTCTTTTTGAAGTTTACTGTATTCCCCCTGGATGTTCGTTTATCGTCATTTATTATTGGGTTGTCATTGCTTGTATGTTTTGTATCTCACTTTGTATATTATACTTTTACACTCAAATAACTTTGTATCATTTGCTTAGCTTCTTTTTCTACAGCTTTTTCGCTATTTACATTCATTGCTGGGAAGTCTCTATTTTGGATATGTATTCCTTCTCTTGCTACAGCACCCAGCCGCTACTCTCCCACCACATTGTGTCACCATTGCTGTGACCTACTCAACCCGCTTCTCTACCCCACTAGATTTCTTTCCCACAGAGCATAGGAGTTCTGACTCCCAAGCAATGCTCCCTCTAAGCCGTGGAGTCTTGTGAGCAGAAACTCTACTTTGTGAGCTACTGGCATTAAAGTTGTGAGCGAGTGATTTGGCTGCTGCAGAAATTCATTTGCTCTGGAGCCATCTTTCCTGAGCTAAGACAAAAACGTGTGAGCCAGAGGCTAAAAAACTGTGAGTTAGCTCACACTAACTCAGCTTAGAGGGAACACTGCTCCCAAGTACCCCATTCTCGCATCCAATAAACATGGGACTTTCTTTTAGCCACATTTCCTCAGGATACCTGGCAAGGCTGATTCAGCCCCATCTTCGTAGGGCTTTCATGCTAGCGCGGTTCGACGTCCTTCCCTCAGCTGTTCTATCGGGAAGGTTCAAGAAAATTCCCTATAAAGATAGATTGTGCCCCTGTGAGATGGGGGAAATTGAATCCATTGGACATGTGCTATTGTACTGTAAATTCCACTATGACATTTGTGTTGTTTATATTGAACCTGTGTTGGACTCCCTTTTGCGCCAATCCGATGAGCATAAAATTAGTTCTTTATTGTCTTCGCATAATATAGAAATCCTGGAACCTGTAGCAAATTTCTTTTATGAGGTATCTTGAGGCTCTATGCTGCATGTTTATTTGATATTTTATGCCAATAAAGGTATTGTATTTGTGTATTTGCATCCAATAAACAGACCTCTGCCAGGGAATCTGAATGTCTCCAGTACCAACTGCTGGCGGGAGGAGGCTGTGGCTCAGAGGCAGAGCCTCTGCTCTGCACACAGAAGGCCCCAAGTTCAGTCCCCGGCATCTCCAGCTAAAAAGGACCAGGCAGTGGGTGATGTGAAAGACCTCAGCCTGAGACCCTGGAGAGCTGCTGCCAGTCTGAGTAGACAATACTGACCTTGATGGACCGAGGGTATGATTCGGTATAAGACGGCTTCATGTGTGCTTCTTAGCTGTGTTGCCACCAGGCTCCTCACATGAAGTTGCCTTATGTAGGGTCAGCTCACCGACCTGTCGAGGTCGGTCTTGTCTACCTCAAGTGGCAGAAGCTCTCCTGGGTCTCTTGATCCTTTTACCTGGTGATGCCGGGGATTGAACTGGGGCCCTTCCGCACACAAACAGGTGCTCTACCACTCATCCACAGTCCCACTCCTGAGCCATATTTGAGCCAGCACGTCCCTACCGGGGAATGGCTGCAGGTGGCCAGACCCATGCGGCCGGTTTCTCCTCCTTGTGTTGATTATGTTGAAGTGCCAGTCTGTTCGGTCACAGGGGCGTTGGTGCCTTGGCCAAGCGGTGGGGAATGCAAGGCTGGGTTTTTTGTTGTTACTGATTTGTGAAGTATGTGTGGTGATGCCAAGAAGTGAGGGTAGTTTCCTTCTCCCCCCCCCAAAAAAAATAAATAATCCTAACATTATTATAGAGTGGCGAAGAAGGGAAGGTATGTCCCTCCCCTTCTCTCCTGGTATTGTCTAGCTCTGGTTTCCGTGGCACCCAAGCGGGCACAAAAGGCTGCCCTGAGAGGCTCCGTGCCGCGACATTCTCTAAGCTGCACGTCATCGCTGACTTGTGGACAGCCCCGCACCCAGCCACCCTCCTTCCCCCCCCCCCACAGATCCCCACCCCTGCAGCTGGGTATCGGGGCGGGGAACGGACTAGACCTGTTTAGCTAGTACAGGAGCTGGCGACGGGGTGTGAAATGAATTCTCCCGAGGGCACGTTCACAAACACGCTGAATCTTAGAAGTGGAAATTGCCGCAGCAGAGCACCTAAACATTGTCCCCCTGCTCTGAGGCAGAGTATGTTGGGTGTGTGAAGTACCAGGAACGGGGAAATACTTAAGACATCGAAGAAAATAAACATTCTACATGGAAGGAGAACGGCCCGGCTCCCTGAGCAACATCCTCCGCGTCGAACCTGCTCGGGAGTGTTTCCTGCTGCTTCACCTGTATCTCCTTCCCTGTAATTTTAACCGATTGCTTCACGTCCTGTTTGGAAGGCTGATTCAGGAGTTTCAGCTCAGAGGAGCTACGGTTTTCGGCCCATCGGTACAGGCTGGCAGCTTCGTCTGCCTGTGCTGAGGCAGTCACGTGGTCACTCTGCCATGTTCTGAATTCAGCTGTTCGCACTCCACTGGTCATAGCAACAGCTTGGTCTTGGCACCCAGATTTCAAGCTGTATTTGGCAACCGGCTGGCAAATGCAAGTTGCTAAATGCCACGGGAAGTGTAGAGCAAATGTTTGCCAGGGTCCTCTGTTCACAGAGGAGCCACACTCTCCTTTTCTTTCTCATGCCAGCTGATTGGGTTTTTAAAAAAGACCGTCACTGGGCTCCCAGGCTGGCCATGAAGCCACATGAAAGGATCGCTTTGGGCATCAAATCCTAGAAGGATGTCATTTCCTTGCCTTCAATTTCAATTTTGTTTTTATGACTTTTATGACGCAGTCCAGCATGCGTTTGACTCCTCACTTCAGGGATGAAAATACCTGACTGGAATGCCGGGTTCTCCTCAGACATACATTCTTCTCTCCCCCTTTTCTCCTGTTTGCCACTGTTTATGTAAACCAAGGGCTACGTGCTGCACAGAGCATCCACGTTCCGTGATTCCTGTCCTGAGTTAAAACATGCTTGATTAATAAGCTGAAATAATCAAACAAGGAAATACTACTTTACACAGAGAGTGATTAAAATGTGCAATTTGCTGCCAGAGGATGTTGTGATGGCCACAGGAATAAACAGCTTTAAAAGGGGATTGGATATATTTGTAGAGGGTAAGTCGATCAATGGCTACTAGCCTTGGTGACTGAGGGGAACCTCCACATCCAGAGACACTAATCCTCTGAATCCCAGAGCCAGGAGGCAACATCAGAGGAAGGCTTTGGCCTTTATGCCCTGTTGCTGGCCAATCCATCCAGAGGAACTGGCTGGCCACTGTGTGAGACAGGATGTTGGACTATTGGTCTGATCCAGCAGGGCTGTTCTTATGTTCTTAAGGTCTAACTCTTCTTCACCCCTTCCTTATACTGAATTAGACCCTTGGTCCATCAGTGTCAGTACTGTCTACTCAAACTGGTGGTGGCTCTCCAGGGTCTCAGGCTGAGATCTTTCATATCACCTGTAACACAATCCTTACTGGAGATGCCAGAGATTGAACCTGGGACCTTCTGCGTGCTAAGCAGATGCTCTGCCACTGAGCCACGGCCCCCTCAAGAACAACAATACTTGAAGTCTAGCTACGAGATATGTTTTTCCTGTGTACATCCCCTAATTGGGTAAACAGACATAGTTTTGCATTTCTGTACTTTCCAGGCATGTGTAGGGCCAGTTTGGACCAGGACTGCAGCATGAAGGAAAGCTTAGATCTCCTTGTCCTTGTGCCATTTTCCTGACCTGAAATGGCCTTAGGGAGTCATTCTGGGCTCCATTGGGGAAAGCAATGTTCCCTCTAAGCTGTGGAGTCATGTGAGCAAAAATTCTACTTTGTGAGCTACTGGCATTAAAGTTGCGAGCGAGCGATTTGGCTACTGCATAAATTAATTTGCTCTGGAGCCATCCTTCCCGAGCTAAGACAGAAATGTGTGAGCCGGAGGCTAAAAAAACTGTGAGCTAGCTCACACTAACTCAGCTTAGAGGGAACACTGCCCTGTAGCGCATTAGTACATGTTAACGTTTCTCCAGTGGAGCAAATAGCAGCCACCAAGGGCATTTTGCCCTGACTTGAATAGCCCAGGCGAGCTCTATCTCGTCAGATCTCAGAAGCCAAGCAGGGTCAGTCCTGGTTAGAATTTGAATGGGGGACCACGAAGGAAGCCCAGGGTTGTGAGACAGGGGCAGGCAATGGATGTCTCTTGCCTTGAAAACCCCACTTGGTCACCCTAAGTCAGCTGTGACTTGATGGCAAAAAAATAGCCATCTCACACTGGGAAAACGGTGCAGGGAGACGGCCTAAGCCCCCTCCCCAAGTGTCATGCATGCCTGGGAAGCACGGGACTCCCAGACCATATGTGTTGATTCAGACCAGGGGTGTATCTTGGGGAAAATGCACTGTGTAGTCAGGCCGTCGTATAAGCTGCATTTTAAACTTGCTCTGTGTGTTTGGGGGAAACGGCGAGTCTTACCTGTCCTGAGATGTCCTGTTCCTTTCCTCTCCTGCCACAGACATATTCAGGGCTTTTCTGCGTGGTCATCAACCCTTATAAGAATCTGCCCATTTACACAGAGCAGATTGTGGAGATGTACCGGGGTAAGAAGCGCCACGAGATGCCCCCCCACATATATGCCATCTCCGAGGCTGCCTACCGAAGCATGTTGCAAGGTATGAACTGGGGCAAGAAGCGGCCGGAATGGAGGGGGAGATGGAAGAATGTCAGGGTGGCTTGCTGCAGTAGGGACAAAAGTTCGAATATTTCCTACTCCCAAACTGGATCGGAGGATGGGAGGGAAAAAGTATCCCGGGAAGGGGTGGGTGGGGTGCTTGCCTGGTGTGGTATGTGTCATGGAGGTTCTGAATTCCTGCCGTGGTGGAAACTGAGTTTGGGAAGATGAATGAATATGCATCTCTGGTGCCCTCCAATGGAGGACAAGCAATCTTGAGTCTCTAGTAAGAGAGATGGACTCTGAATGTTCTTTCTTATCCCCTACAGACCGAGAGGATCAGTCCATCTTGTGCACGTGAGTTGGGGTGATTTGAAACTTGGGAAGGGGACTTTCAGTACTTGTAGTGCCAAAGGGCCATTCATTATTCCACACCACTGCTTTTGTATGACGTTTGTCCCAGAAGCACAGACTGAGAATATGAAGGTATTTAAGGCCATGCTCAGGTGTTACAACAGACTGGGGGGAACCTCTCCTGTTCTAATGATCTACCCATGGTATAGACCCCAAAAGAACCATTTCATGGGAAGCTGCTGTCCAGACTACCCTTAGGAATACCATTCACCCTGACATCACGTTTCATTCTGTGCCGGCTTCCCCGACTGCAATGGGGAGGAAACACATTTCCTTGTGCCCTACTGGTAGAAATATAAACAGTCAAAATATACTGTGTAACGCCAATAAATAATCACTTTTGAATTTTTTTTGGTATTTTGTATATTTTTTATTTTTCTGTATTAATCTGAATGCACTTAAAGTCAAATTAATGATACAGAATATTCACTAGTTTCACAAACCAGTCATGAAATCTCAAAGTACAAAAAGTCAGCAACAGTGAAAAGCAATTTCAAACACCATGTGGAAAGAACATCACTTCATAGTTATATTCATAACAGCCACAGTAAAAGGATAATTTTCTATAAACATTACAGCTAGCATAAGATACAAGATCCTGCAATTTTAAAGGCTTGCATGCAAGGCACTGTCTTCTGATGACACAAGAAGCTTGAATCAGGAGCCTAAAACTATTAATAGACATAGTTCCAATCTTAAATCAGATGAGGAGCCGGGGTCATTTCCTGCAGGAGCGCACAGGAGCGGAGCTCCAGCAATAAAGAGGCCAGGGGGCGGGAACATACAACAAGCTCCACCCCCTGCTCCCAGCAGCCCTCAGTCAGAGCAAGAAGCAGCCAGGTAAGTTGCAGAGCCCCCCCCCCGGTCCAAAACAGTCCAGTAGCACCTTTAAGGCCAAGGTTTATTCAGGTACAAGCTCTCCCTCCTCTGCCAGGACAGATCTGCACGCCCCCCCTCCCAATAGCTAGGAATCCAAAAGAGTCCAGTGGAGCCTAAGTGGTGGGTGTTGCCTTCTGACACACTTCCGGTGATGTCAGGGGGTGTGGCATATGCAAATAAGGTATGCTAATGAGTGATGCTAATAAGCTCCTGCACCTCTTTTTCTACAAAATGACCCCTGTGAGGAGCCAAACCACTTCAAACTCACCCGGGACAGTAGCGTTTGGTGGTAGACTGTAGAGTTTGGCTCCTTCTCTGAGGAAGAACTGAAACGAGAAGTCTACCTAGGATACTGTGGCTGTTATGAATATAACCATGTGCTGGCTCTTCGGCTTTGAAACGGAGATGAGCACCGCAACCCTAGAGTCGGATTCGACCGGCTTTCGAGCAAGGGAACCTTTACCTTTACCTTTATGAAGTGATATTCTTTCCACATGGTGTTTGAAATTGTTTTTCACTGTTGTTGGCTTTTTGTACTTGGAGTTTTCATGACTGGTTTGTAACATTTGTGAATATTTTGTATAATTAATTTGACTTTAATTGCATTTAAATTAACACAGAAATACACCAAAAGTACATAAAATTTCAAAAAGTAATTATTTATCGGCCTTACACAGTATATTTTGATTGCATATGGCCCTTTACTGGGTTTCCTTGTTGAGTTTGTTACTGGTAGAACTGGCAGAATGCCCAGCTGGGCCTGAAATCGCGGCATGAGTCTCCTCAAGTAAGAGGGAAATAAGACTGATAACTGAGTAATGTTGATTTTATTAATTGGGCAATGGAATTGAAAATGTAATTATTTTTAATGCAGGTACGCCATCTCAGAAGAGGCATTCCCTCCCATGTGTAAGAGGGAATACCTCTTCTCAGGGGTCATTTCGTAGAAAAAAAGGTGCAGGAGCTCATTAGCATAACTCATTAGGAGAACTTATTTGCATATGCCACACCCCCTGACATCACCGGAAGTGTGTCAGAAGGCAACACCCACTGCAACTTACCTGGCTGCTTCTTGCTCCTCATGGCCCAGGGCTGCTGGGAGCAGGGGGTGGGGCTTGTTGCATGTGCCCGCCCCCTGGGCTCTTTACTGCCGGAGCTCCGCTCCTGTGCGCTCCGGCAGGAAAGGACCCCTGCCTCTTCTGTGATTAGCTTGAACACAGGTGCATGCACCCACTTATAAAACCAAACCATGCTGTCTCCCCGCCTTCAGCTGTTTCCCCCCATCAGAAGATCTATGCAGAATTGGTAATTGGCTAAAACTAATTGACAGATTTCTTTAATAGGATAACCATCCTGTTTGAGAGTGTTTACAGCACTCATGTTCCATATGCTGCATCCATATGACATCATCCTCTAGTCATCCCGCTTCTGTGTTTCTCCCCCATTTGGCTACCTGATTGGGTACAGTCTTATCAGAGGGATTGTGGTAAAAGTGTCTTTGAATGGGTGTGTGGATGGGAAGATGCTCATATCTGCGGGACCTGCCCGTATCAGTTCCATCTGCCTAGTGTCAACCCCGGAAACAGACAGATGCCCCCTCACTGGAGAACTTTTGTTCTAGCTTTAGAAAAAAATTGGTAGGCGACATTTATATAGCATTATAACAGTCTATTGCAACAATGCATTCATTTTCAGCTTTCATTTTTAAAAAGTAAGTCTGTAGCCCTTTTCATTGTGGAAATTTTATGGGGAAAGGTGCAGGCTGTATGGTATCACATTGTTGTAGATTGTGGCAATAGATCCTTATAATGTTATAATGCTATATCTAGCAATTACTGGTGGGTTGTTTTGTTTTTTTAAAGTCCTCTAGTGGGGGGAATAGTGGCCATAGGGGAGCTTTGAGGTAAGGAAAGTACATAGAAAACTGCCGTGTGGATGCTCCATTGTCTCTGCGAATGCTTTACATTCACAGTAATGAGAGTTACGTAGACAATCCTATGGAAGCAGCCATTCCCTCAGTCATCCTTGCAAACCTGGTAACATTATTATTCCCATCTCATGAGTTCATGGCTGAGCTGTAGGACTTGAACTGTGGTCTTCTCAGTTTATGGCCCTCTTTTAGCTGCTGTGATTCAGCAGCTCAATCGGTACAAAACACAAGCCCAGGCAGAGAAAGGAGGAAGGCAGGGGGCTGGACTTCTTCAAGGAGCCCATGCCGTTAGAAGTGGTTCTGGAAGCGGGCACATGCATGCTCCATCCAGAGCTCTGGTGCCCATCTTCTCACGCCCTCAGTGTCTGATCTTGTTGACAGGGGGGAATCTGGTGCTGGCAAGACGGAGAACACAAAAAAAGTGATCCAGTACTTGGCGCACGTGGCTTCATCTCACAAAGCCCGGAAGGACCACAATGTGCCGGTGAGTGGCCTCTGACCAGAACTCTTTGCTCCTGCCACACCCACCTGCACCGGCAACACTGTTCCTCTCTGCCCTGCGTTGCTGACCTCTGGAAGAGATTCTCCACCCTTGTGAGCAATGTAGCCTGACATGCCCCTTCCCACTGTTGTTTGCATTCCTGAATTAGAGCATAGCGGTCTTGGGGAACTCGCATGCATGCTTTTGCCCACCTGGTGGCCGTGGGGTGGAAGTACCTGCCTCACCTGAACAGGGCAGCCACCGCCTCCCAGCAGCTGTGTCTCCACCCAGATCTAGCCTGGGGGCACCGTTAGGAATGCCAGGCGTCAGCCCTGAGGCTGAATAATTGATTCTCAATGAACTGTGGAGAGCCTTTCCCTCCTCAGCCAATAATCTCACTGGCTGTGTGCCCACTTGGAATTGGGAAGGATGTACGCTGCATTACCGGTTATGGTGCCCAAGCAGGTGTGAGCGGCAGAGTTGCCTTTTATCCCCTGTGCCCAAGAACCAGCGTGGTGAAGTGGTTAAGAGCAGTGGACTGTACTCTGGAGAACTGGGTTTGATTCCCCGCTCCTCCTCATGAAGCCTGCTGGGGGACCTTGGGCCAGTCACAGTTCTCTCAGAACTCTCGCAGCCCCACCTGTATCACAAGGGGCCTGTTGTGGGGAGAGAAAGCGAAGGCCAATTGTAAGCCACTTTCGGACTCCCTGGGGTAGAGAAAAGCAGGGTATAAAAACCAAGTCTTTGTCTTCTTTCTTAAAAGAAGGAAGTGAGCCACTGTTTGCATCTGAGTTGCTCATCTCGCCCCCCCCCCGTGCCACTGCTCACTCTGTCGTCTCCTTACCAACCTCCCCCAATGTCTCCGTGTCTGTCTGCCTTCCTTCTGGTTGTGCCAGTTCTGACCTTTGTGGACTTTGAAAGGCCCCAGCCTGAGGACTGCCACATCTCGCAGAAGTTGCACAATAAGAAACGAATCGCCAGCCACCCCTGCCGTCCTAATAGTGGGGATGTTTGCTTGTTCTGGCCAACAGGATTTGGGAAGGGAATTGAAATGAGGTGTTGATAATGTTGTTGTTGTTGTTTTTCCCTTTGAAGTCTTGAGGATTTCCCAACTGTGGGGGCGGGGTGGCAAGCTGCTTGCATTCTAATAACTCTTCCCTTGGTGCATTTCATGTTTAGTGGCTTAATGGCTTCCCTGTTTGAAGGGTGTCTCTGTCTGGGAGAAGTATGTTGGCTGTCTGACTCCCTGGGATCCTGTGCAGATCCTTCCCACCTCCCCCCCCCCCCCAAAGGGGGGAAAAGGGGGGGGGGGGGGGAAGAAAGAAGAATTATTGGGCAACTTCAGGACCTCGGAGGCCTTCTAGCCCAGGCACTGGTAGTGCACGTTTCTAAAAAAATAATTGCCCTCAGATAAAGGTAAAGGTAAAGGTTCCCCTGCTCGAAAGCCAGTCGAGTCCGACTCTAGGGTTGCGGTGCTCATCTCCGTTTCCAAGCCAAAGAGCCAGCGCTGTCCGAAGACGTTTCCGTGGTCATGTGGCCAGCATGACTAAACACCAAGGCGCACGGAACGCTGTTACCTTCCCACTAAAGTGGCCCCTTATTTATCTACTTGCAATTTCTTGCTTTCGAACTGCTAGGTTGGCAGAAGCTGGAACTAGAGACGGGAGCTCACTCCATCATGCGGCACACTCGGGTCTCGAACTGCTGAACTACTGACCTTCCACAGCCTGCAGTTCAGCGTCTTAACCACTTGAGCCACCACAGCTCCGCCCTCAGATAACTTGGCAACTTAAAGAGTTAAATTGGCAAAAATAGGCCAATTCCTGTCCTCCAGTTGGTGCTACATCCATGCATCCCTGGATATTTCACTGCTGCTGCATGAAAGCAAAAATCCGCAGCTGGTGGACAAGCCAATCCAATTGTGTGACTGTGCGATAGTGCAACAGGAACGCAGTAACCAGAGATGTGTGGGTGCAAGGCTTGGCATGAGGCAGGGGCGTGCAAACTGAGAATTTTCTCCTAATCTTTCGGGGTGCTGTGGCAGAAGGGAGGCACCGTTTAGGCAGCGGGGGTTCCTTTGCCACTCTGGCATGCCGGCAAATGCCCAGCCTCACCACCTGTGTAAAGAGGGCCTTTGGGTTTGCTCAGGTAAAGCATAAGAACCTAAGAAGAGCCCTGCCGGATCAGACCAAAGGCCCATCCAGTCCAGGATACTGTTCTCAGAGTGGCCACCTGCTGCCTCTAGGAAGCCCACCACTGCAACAACAGTTTGTCCTTGGGATCTGGCCCCCCTTCCTTGTAAGGAAGCAATTGTGTGTGTGTGTTGTGCTTGTGGCACAGAAGCAACTGTGGACTGTGTAGGGCACCGGTGAGCCAGTGGCCTCAGTTTCAGTGTTCCCTCTAAGCTGAGTTAGTGTGAGCTAGCTCACAGTTTTTTAGCCTCCAGCTCACACATTTTTGTCTTAGCTCAGGAAGGAGGGCTCCAGAGCAAACTAATGTTTGGAGCAGCCAAATCGCTCGCTCACAACTTTAATGCCAGTAGCTCACAAAGTAGGATTTTTGCTCACAAGACTCCACAGCTTAGAGGGAGCATTGCGCACTTTGTGAGGTCAGAGCAGGAAGTCCCTGCTCTTGGGTGGGGGGTGACGTGGGGAGGAGCCCGAAGGGAGACCTGGTATTAATCTCCCCTCTGTTGTTTTGCCACCCCAGCCGGAGTACCTGAACGAAACCAAGCAACAGGCAAGAGAGCACATTGCATGCTGCTGAGATGCAGCCCCTCCCTCCCTCCCTCTCACTCACCCCCCTTCCCCTTCCCCACATGCTGGTCGCCGATCACTCACTGGCTGCTGCTCCTGGCCCCACCTCCCCCTTTTTTTTTTGGGCTGCCCGTTCTCGCTTGACATGCTTTCCGTTGTTGGTCTTTTAACTTTTTTTTTTTTGGTGGGTTTTGTTTTAAAATTTTTGCTCTTCCCTCCTCAGAGTCCTGGACTCAGAGGGCTTTCTGAGAAAGGAACAAGAATCTAGCAGGCTGAGGCAGCTGGGGACGGGAGCCAGAACTCCCGGGTGCCCCCCTCCCCCTACAGACAGACATCTCCTCTCCATCTCCCCTTTATCGGTTCCCAGTTCACGTGTCACTGCATCGTTCCCTCCGTCTGTGATCCGGTTTTAATCCTTTGGTGTTTTGTTTTTGTTTTGTGTCTTTGTCCCTGCTCCTCGCCCTCCTCTACCCCCACCCCCACAATTTTATGTTGCGTGATGTCATCCCCACCCTGCCCTCCATAGACCTCCAACCCTGCTTCCTACGTGAGTAGTTTTCCGTTGTGCTTTTCAGGGTCTGGGAGGGTTTGCTTTGTCACGTGACGTGTCTGTGTTTCTGTGTCCAGACAGCATCTCCTGCTTGGGGGTTGCACTAGTGCAGAGGCCTCCCCCCTCCCAAGGAAGCACTCCTTCTCGAAAACCCACATGGACTCTGCTAGGACTGGGATTCCTGGGGGCCTCTCTTCTGCCCCATAGCCAGTGTTCCTCCCTTCCCAGTTCCCCGTGATGCCCTCTGCTGGGCTGGGAGTTCTGCCGTGATTTCATTTTCTTCTGCAGGGGGCCTGAGTGTGCATCACCCTTTCCTCCCACTTCCTTTCCCCCCTAGGGTGAACTGGAGCGTCAGCTGCTGCAAGCCAACCCTATCTTGGAAGCATTTGGCAATGCGAAAACTGTCAAAAACGACAACTCCTCACGATTTGTAAGTCTTCCGGTCTTTAATAAAAACAGATACATTTTCTGGAACAAGAGTCAAGATGGATGGATGGCCTTTAATCAGAGGAGCCTTGGTACTGATGCAGATCTAAACCACCACACACATCTAACGGAAGCCCAGCAGCACCTTGCAGACCGACAACATTTGTTCCGGCAAAGCTTAATCAGTGGGGGAGGGAAGGTGGCCTGTTATAGCCTGATCTTGTCAGGTCAGAGAAGCCAAGCAGGGTCAGTGGGAGACCACCAAGGAAGACCCTGCAGAGGCAGGCAATGACAGACCACCTGTGCTTCTTACCTGCCTAGGAAGCCCCTTCCTGGGGTTGCCATGAGTCTGTTGCGACTTGACAGCCCTTACGGTACATACTTTAGTGGCTACTTCACCCGTGGGAAAGGAATCTGGAGCATGTTGCTCCAGAGATACGTGGTGAGCTCAACCCATTTCTTTAAGTGTTCCGTGTGTGTGTGTGTCCCTCATTTAAGACTAATAGTGGTTCCACACCACACAGTGCTCCAGTGAATTATAGTAACCAGCAAAAGGATGTGCAGCAGAAAGCACATCGTGCAAGGGATGGTATTGGGTGTGTTGGGGGGGGGTGAGAGAGAGAGAGAGAGAGAGAGAGAGAGCACTGCCATTTCTATGGTGGCCTGATCAGCAAAGCTTTTTCTGCTATGATGGTCTTTTTGGTCTTTCTCAGGTATACAGTGACTAGAATAGGGATTCCTTCTCCTCCCTTTGTGGGTGATTTGTGCCAATGTCAAGGCTCCATTCGACTCCATTATTGTACAATTTAATTTTTTTTTAGTTATTTGTTGTCTGTTCTTTTTTGTTGTTAGCCACCCTAAGCCCTGCTTGCCACATTTCTTTAAGTGTTCCATGTGTGTGTGTCCCTCATTTAAGACTAATGGTGGTTCCACACCACACAGTGTTCCAGTGAATTATAGTAACCAGCAAAAGGATGTGCAGCAGAAAGCAAATTGTGCAAGGGATGGTATAAAAGATGTGCAGCAGAAAGCACATCGTGCAAGGGAGGGTATTGGGGGTGTTGGGGGGGGGTGAGAGAGAGAGAGAGAGAGAGAGAGAGAGCACTGCCATTTCTATGGTGGCCTGATCAGCAAAGCTTTTTCTGCTATGATGGTCTTTTTGGTCTTTCTCAGGTATACAGTGACTAGAATAGGGATTCCTTCTCCTCCCTTTGTGGGTGATTTGTGCCAATGTCAAGGCTCCATTCGACTCCATTATTGTACAATTTAATTTTTTTTTAGTTATTTGTTGTCTGTTCTTTTTTGTTGTTAGCCACCCTAAGCCCTGCTTGCAGGGACGGGCGGCCTAAAAATTTAATCAAACAAATAAATATAAACCTGGGTTATTGTTTGTTTGTTTTTTTAAAAACAAATCAACCTGTAATTGCTGATTTGTTTAGATCTTGCATGTAGAAAAACTTGTACCTTTTAAAACAGTCCGTTTTTTTAAGATACTTCCTGGGGAGAAAGAATAATTGCCCTTCCCCCTGGACAGAAAGCAAGCATTGTTAAACCCAAATGCCCCGTGAGGCAAGTTGAAAAGCAAAAAGCTAGCCCACGCATCTTTTGTAGAGGCTCTTACCATTGATTTCCAGTTCCCACCTATCTCCAAGCATATAGAATTTATTTAGATTTTATCTTTCCTCTGTTCCGATTCTTTTGTTTCTGCAAATCTATTTGTCTGTTGAACTGGCCATGACCCCTTTAAGTGACGAGCATCCTTTTATTCATCTGTACTTTTTCAAATGCACAGTAAGCCCTTGGAAAAGGGCTGGATTCACAGAATGTCAGTTTCAAATTCCCTCATGTTTGTAGAGCTAGGTCAACAGTCCTCCCTTCTCCTTGAGAAACCTTCCCACCTTTGTCTGGAAGACCAGTTGTCTTCTTGCAGAAGGTGTGTTTTCAAATTCTACCCCCCCCCCAGGTTTTTAATTGAGAGAGGTCAGTTTCTAGCCCTCCTGCTTAAGAAGAAAAGTGTGGGGGTGTAACTGTTTCTTTGCCTCCTTGTTGAAAGGGGGAATACCACTTTCTGCTAGACGATTTCCCACCATGGTATGTGTCAATTTCACACAAGCTGCTGCGCATTTTGCCCCTTTCCCTGAGTCTACTCAATCCTCAAAAAACAGGATTGAGTAGATGCGGGGAAATCACAGGAAGCTGGCCCTGAAGCAGCTTGTGTGAAATTGACACAGGAAGCTGGCCCTGCAACAGCTTGTTTGAAATTGACACGTACCATTGTACCATTGGGCAAAAGGGAAGAGCAAGCATGGAGCAACGCTTGTGGGAAATCGGACCCACTTGTGTGGTCACAACTTTTGTCTCCTCCTGGTTAAGGATTCATCAATTCTAGTGCCATCTTTAGTTGATCTAGGGAGATAAGCCTATTTCTTGCCTCTGCAGCTTGGTGGGATGTGTAACAATACAATATGGAGAGCTTTCTCATCTTAATGTCAAGACACTTCTAAAGAAATCCGATAAATAAGGCTATAGAAAACATTCTGGATGTGATGCGTATTTCTCAGTACGATGTATATACTAGGGACTTCTGTTTGTAAATGAAGCCAGTTCCCTTTTGCATGCCGCTTGTCATTCCTGATTTCCTCTTTGTATTACTCAGGTAAATTTATCCGGATTAATTTTGATGTAGCTGGCTACATTGTCGGAGCCAATATAGAGACATGTATCCTGCTCATGGGAAGGGTGGAATTCTGTGAAAAGGAGTGGAGAGATTGGAAACTAGGACCGCTGAATTGTATGGGTGCATAAGTAGAGTCTAAGGAACACAGGACTCCTGGTGGGTGAGAGCCGGGGGCCGGGGGGGGCGGGGAGGGCGAGTTGGGGCTCCTGGGCAGCCAGAGCAAGCTGGTGATTTTGTGGCAGGAAGGAGGCAGGTTTGTGTCCGGACATCTTTTAGTTTCTCCGCCTTAACCCTAAGCTGCCCAGATCTGTTGGAGAAATCGCGAGCCATTCGTCAGGCCAAGGACGAGCGAACCTTCCACATCTTTTATCAGCTTTTAGTGGGCGCTGGTGAGCATATGAAAGGTAAACCTTTTTTTTTTTGTATTACTCAAGTGGTACACGGCTAGGCTTCCTTTCTTTGCACTGTCAGGTCACCTCTTCTTAAAGTCGGGATGTCTCGGTCTTTAAAAGAAAGTAATGGGTTTGGTGGGTAGGGCACAAGGAGCCGCTACAAACAAGTGAACTACAGGTTTGGGCGGCTCTCTGGCCTTTCAGCCTTGCCGTGCAAAGCTGGTTGAAAATCGAGAGACTGGGCAGGAGATGGTGAGAATGGAAGAGGACGTGGAGCCCTGGAGTGGCAATTGTAGAATGAGGAAAGGGGATTCCACAATATTCGTTTGGGCTGTAAGCTGTGGCTCACAGGAGTTTTGAATCTCTCTTCTGACAGCGCTGGCTCTTCGGCTTTGAAACGGAGATGGGCTATAGAAAATTCGACTGGCTTTCGAGCAAGGGAACCTTTACCTTTACCTTTAACAGAGACTTAATGTGTTGGCAACTATTCCCTCTTCTGGACCACTGTACTTTTATCATTCTTCTGACCTTCTTGATTTAGTAGATAGTATTACCGTTTTCATTGGTTGCTTTTAAAAAAAAAATTAATGTGGGCATAAGTTACTAGCATTCCCATTTTACATACTGAGAAAGTGATGTACCCAAGGCCACAAAATAATAGCTTTTAAGGTGCCCCCATAAAGTGTACGACTCAAAACATGCATTCGTATACCAAACTGTATGTTTTCATCTGTCATACATTTACATGTACCCAGGCCCCAAAGAGCTAGGCTCGGTCTCAGTTGCCCTCTGGCACAGGCCCATGGGCTGCCACATAACACATGAAGTGATCATAGAATCATAGAATTACAGAGTCGGAAGGGGCCAGACAGGCCATCTATGCCAACCCCCTGCTCAATGCAGTATCAGCCTAGCACATCCCTGACAAGTGTTTGTCCAGCTGCTGTTTAAAGACTGCCAGTGAGGGGGAGTTCACCACCTCCCTAAGCAGCTGATTCCATGGTTGCACAACTCTTAATGTAAAAAAGGTTTTCCTAATATCCAGCTAGTTCCTTCCATTCTTGCGAGTCCTCTCCTCTGCTGCCAACAGGAACAGCTTCCTGCCCTCCTCTAAGTGACAGACCTTCAGATACTTCAAGAGAACAATCAGGTCCCCCCTCAACTCGGCACTTATCCTTGGTCCTGAGCACACGTTTGAGTTCAGACTCAAACTCTAGTCCCCCTGTGATGGACACAGCATCAGCCTACCTCCTGCCTTCAGAGAATCTAGGCATGCTAGAATCTGGCCCCATATCTGAAGTAGTGATAAAGAAGTGCCTCTGAGCATTTGTAGAGTGCATTTCCCTTAACACTGAGTCCATCACAATGGGCTTGCTCACATCTGGGATTCGTGGAGAAGGTTTTTCGTTTGAAAGGTTGATTCCCCTATCCTCGTGTTAGAGTTTGGCACCTCTTTCAGTGCACTTTCCAGTTCACAGAGTAAAATCCAGTTGGAAAGTGTACTGAAAGTGGATTGAAGGTAGATTATTTAGTGTATGCGACCGTAGCCTAAGAGGCTTTTCTTCTTTTCCTCTTGTGACCTACAGCGGAGCTGCTGCTGGAGCCGTTCAATCAGTATCGCTTCCTGTCCAATGGGTACCTGCCCATCCCAGGGCAGCAGGACAAAGAGATCTTTCAGGAGACCATGGAGTCAATGCGCATCATGGGCTTTTCGCACGAGGAGATACACTGTAAGTCCTTCTCACGAGAACGCATCGGGGGTGGGGGTGGGTGGGAGAAAATGGCAGCCCGTGGGAACCAGCTATTCAGGGTCCAACCAGTGAGAAATCTAAGTCAGCGTACCGTTGGCTTTCTAGGATGAGCCAGAGGCATTGGGGAAGTTTGTAAGCCGGGCATAGATGATGACATCATGCCTCATTTAGCATCAGGTGTGTGGAGATGTTCTATATTTGGACATGAGGCCTGCACGTCTGGCTGCCCTGACTAGGGGCATCAGTAATCCTATCCTCCCACATTTGAGTAACTGGAATTCTTAAAAAACATTTAGGTTTAGGCTTGTGTACCGTAATGGCTGAGAGGCTGAAATACATATCAGGAAGTCCCTGGCTCGAACCTTATCTCTGCTGTGAGCATTCTCTCTCAGCGCAGCCCTAAGCAGATGAAGAAGAAGGTTTCTATTGTATTTAGCCATAGGCCATTACAAACCACAAACAGAGAAGAATGCAATAAAACATGGAAAATTGTATAAAACAAAATACAGTCTAAAACGTTGTGAATCCATAAAACCGAGGTTATAAACAGTTAATTAATTCACAGCATACCCACTAAAATCAGTATTAGCTAGTTCCCCTAGGAACAGCGTTGGCCCGTATTTTCCTTGCAGCCAAGGCAAATAAAGCCATTCTATTGGATACATCGGCATTGGCATCGGCTACGCAGCCCTAAGCAGAATTATACCCTTCAATGGGTTTATAAAGCTGTAATTCTGTTCAGGATTGGGCTGTAGGTGGCCTGGGAAAGTTACTTTCACCAGAATACAGACCCTAACCCTATAAAATTGTTTGTAAGGATTGCAGGAAGATAACTCCCATGGAGTGTCTTGAACACAGGACGCACCATATAAATGCTAACCATTATTATTGCTGTTTGTACGAGTGGCCGTCGCAATACCCTGTTGCTGTGAGTTCCGCAAGTTAACAAGACGTATGCTTTAGTTAGTCCTTCAGTTTGGCTTCAGCTCGCTGCCTAACCTTTTTAAAAAACTTAGCCGTGAATGTTTAAATTTGCCAAGAGAGGTGTTTGGGTGGGTGGAAAAATGGGTTTGCAAAATAATGAAGAAGGAGCAAGAGAGAAACGTCCCTTTGTGTCGTCCTGCTCCCAGGTATGCTCCGGATGGTCTCGGCTGTGCTGCAGTTTGGGAACATTTCTTTCCGCAAAGAGAGGAACACAGACCAGGCCTCCATGCCTGACAACACAGGTAGGGGGAGCTCTGATAGGGGGCCAGGCATCTTTTGGGAAAACGGCCGGGGTTAATTTCCATCCTGCCTCGGGAAATGTAAAGTGATCTTTGTGGATGGGTTGGTGGGGACGAGCCCCTGCTCGTTTTCAAATGGATTTGAATTTGGCTAATGTCCGTTTTGGAGCTGCAGTGGCTCAAGTGGTTAAGACGCTGAACTGCAGGCTGTGGAAGGTCAGTAGTTCAGCAGTTCAAGATCCGGGTTGCCGCATGATGGAGTGAGCTCCCGTCTCTAGTCCCAGCTCCTGCCAACCTAGCAGTTCGAAAGCAAGAAATTGCAAGTAGATAAATAGGTACCACTTCGGTGGGAAGGTAACAGCGTTCCGTGCGCCTTGGTGTTTAGTCATGCCGGCCACATGACCACAGAAACGTCTTCGGACAGCGCTGGCTCTTCGGCTTGGAAACGGAGATGAGCACCGCAACCCTAGAGTCGGATTCGACTGGCTTTCGAGCAAGGGAACCTTTACCTTTACTTTAATGTCCGTTTTACTTAAGCTAACAAAAAAAAATCTGCACGAGTAGGATGATAAAAACGCAAAACAGGATTGAAATCATGTGGAAATGTGGGTCTTTACTGCGTTGAGCAGCATCAGAACGGCAGCTTCTACCACGCCTGGTTTGGCATTGTTACAAGAAAGAGGTCAATGCTGCCCACAAGTCACTCTCTGTCCTGCAGCACTTGTACTTAATACTGCTGTTTCCCAGTCTGCCAGAAGTTTATTTTTGTCCACAGTTCACCCAGGTTGGGGGCGGGTAGCCGTTCTGAGCCATCAGGGACTGGACATCCAGAGGCCTTTTGCCAACATGTCTCTTGTCCTTTCCAGCTGCCCAGAAGCTCTGCCACCTCCTAGGCATGAACGTCACAGAGTTCTCTCGTGCCATCCTCACCCCACGCATCAAGGTCGGCCGAGACTATGTGCAGAAGGCGCAGACAAAGGAGCAGGTCAGTGGAAGGTGGAACCTGGGTGAGTGGACAGGTGTGGGAGGGATGAAGGATACCTCGATACAAGAAGGATGGTTTGCTGAGATGGGGTGGGGAATAGCGGGAGCCACGGTGCGCCAAGTCCAATTCCGGCCTCTCTATCTTCTTTCCAGGCTGACTTTGCCGTTGAAGCTCTGGCCAAAGCTACCTACGAGCGGCTCTTCCGGTGGCTGGTGCATCGGATCAACCGTGCGCTGGACCGTACCAAGCGCCAGGGGGCATCCTTCATTGGCATTCTGGACATCGCCGGTTTTGAAATATTCCAGGTCAGGAGGGAAGGGGTCATCCAGGCAGGAGTGCCGCTTTGCCCAAGTGTTCCTGATCTCAGGGACCATTTGCATGCAGATGTAGGCAAATAGTTTGCAAATAGTTAGGGGGGTGCCCATGCTGTGGAGACTGGGGAGTGGGCTACACACGCAGTACTGCTTTATGCCTTGTGCGGGGAAAAGGGTTGTGGAAGCCTGTCGGATTCTTGTGGTCCCTGTGGCACCAAGTTTTACCTCTTGTTTCCTCTGGCTGACTATTTTCGCTTTTCTGTCTCTCTCCCCCCACCCTTACAGCTGAATTCCTTTGAACAGCTTTGCATCAACTACACCAATGAAAAGCTTCAGCAGCTCTTCAACCACACCATGTTCGTGCTGGAGCAGGAAGAATACCAGCGAGAGGGCATCGAGTGGAACTTCATAGATTTCGGTCTGGACCTCCAGCCCTGCATTGACCTCATTGAGAGGCCGGTGAGCCAAGGGGAGGGGATTTGGGGGGTGCTGCAGTTGGGGCACTGTTCCCTCTAAGCTGAGTTCGTGTGAGCTGGCTCACAGTTTTTGAGCCTCCGGCTTACACGTTTTTGTCTTAGCCCAGGAAGGATGGGATGGCTCCAGAGCAAACTAATGTATGGAGCAGCCAAATTGCTCGCTCACAACGTTAATGCCAGTAGCTCACAAAGTAGGATTTTTGCTCACAAGACTCCACAGCTTAGAGGGAGTGTTGGTTTTTTTTTGGGGGGGGGGTTGGAGAAGGATCTGTTTTGTCTATCAGGAAGTAGACGGGGGATCCCCAAGCTTGATGGACCTGGGAGCACGTCTGGAAGTTTGCAAATAGTTAGGGGGTGCCACAACAAAACAGCTGACATTGGGAATGGGTGTGTCCAGTCACAAAAAAGGTTCCACACCAGTGCTCCCTCTAAACTGAGTTAGTGTGAGCCTGCTCACAGTTTTTTAGCCTCCGGCTCACACATTTTTGTCTTAGCTCGGGAAGGATGGCTCCAGGGCAAACTAATTTATGCAGCAGCCAAATCGCTCGCTCACAACTTTAATGCCGGTAGCTCACAAAGTAGGATTTTTGCTCACAAGACTCCACATCTTAGAGGGAGCATTGCTCCACACCACACCAAGCGTCTTTCTGTGATGGAGGCATCCGTTCCAGACGTCTCCCTGTAGACACAAAGATGATATCTCTTCTGAGGCACCTCCTGTCCCAGTGAAGCAGAGGAAAGCCAGGATTGGTTCTTTGCTTTGGGGAACAAGGAAGGGTGGTCCAGGAAACACACTGGGCAGTGGGCACCGCACTGGTGGTAGCAGAAGCAGACTGTTCTCCCCCTGTACCAAGGAGGGCTTTGAGGGGGCTTTTGAAAAAGAGCGCTACTTGACATATTGCTCTGCAAATTACAAGTTTGTTAAGCCAGCAGAAAAGGCCTTTCAGTGGAGTGAAGAATATAGCAGCTGTAGGGGGCTTTAGGAGCTGCGGTGGCTCAAGTGGTTAAGACCTGAACTGCAGGCTGTGGAAGGTCGGTAGTTCAGCAGTTCGAGACCCGGGTGCCGCATGACGGAGTGAGCTCCCATCTCTAGTTCCAGCTCCTGCCAACCTAGCAGTTCAAAAGCAAGAAATTGCAAGTAGATAAATAGGTACCGCTTTGGTGGGAAGGTAGCAGCGTTCCGTGCGCCTCGGTGTTTAGTCATGCTGGCCACATGACCACGGAAACTTCTTCGGACAGCGCTGGCTCTTCAGCTTGGAAACGGAGATGAGCACCGCAACCCTAGAGTCGGATTCGACTGGCTTTCGAGCAAGGGAACCTTCACCTTTACCTTTTAGGGGGCTTTAGGGGTCCGAGTAAGAACAGTGCAGGGGAAAGCAACGTGGGAAGGGCTGTGCTGTCCTTGTGAATACCTCTGCATTCTACCCATGTGGAAACATCCTCTGTGGAGAAGAGGATCCCACTTCTGATTGGAGGAACTCGATGCTTCTATCATTTGCATAATGTCTCCTGATTGGATTGCACTCAAGTCCATTTGGCCCTCCCCCCTCTTCTCCCCCAACAGCAAAACTTTGGCTTCTGCTTTGTGGGCTTCGGTAATCCTTGTTAATAGTTTTGACTCGGTGTGCTCTCTGTCCCCCCCCCACCAGGCAAACCCCCCAGGGGTGCTAGCTCTACTGGATGAGGAATGCTGGTTCCCCAAAGCCACCGACAAAAGCTTTGTGGAGAAAGTGTCTCAGGAGCAGGGGTCCCACCCTAAGTTCCAGAAGCCCCGGCAGCTGCGGGACAGAGCTGATTTCTGCATCATTCATTACGCCGGCAGGGTGAGTGGCGCCCATTGCATGCTGGGTAGTCGTGGTTCTGCTCATATCCTTCCTTTTCTTCTGCGGATCTCGAGGCATCAGGTAGAGGGTTGGATTCAGCCAGCTTTGCTGCCGATGAAAGAGGAAGGGAGGGAGGATCTCTTCACCCCGAAAGGCTGTGCTGGCAATCCGAGGCGTGTACTGCCAACGTTTTGCAGGATGGGTGTCATAGCAAGGAGAGGGATGCGCTGTGATTGAGTGAATTAGCTTGCTGGATTCAACCAGTTGTGTCCATCAGTTGCTGAAACAAAGCAAATCTAGTCAATTCCTCATTGGGAAGCAAAGCTACTGTATTTTGTACCTCCAGACCGTGTCCTTGATTGTAAACAGACACACTCAGACTGGGAATCTGTCCCGGGCACAGAAATGTATGTTCAAGAAAGTCCACCTTCATTGGTTCTTGTTGCTGGAGGGAAAACAAAGTCACTTCATTCCATGTCCCCAGCGGCCAGAAAGACCCTGAAAATGTCTGATATGGGGATATCTGAAATGTGTGACAAAGGTAAGAATGTTTATGATGAACTGTATTATCCTGAGCCTACGGGGAGGCCGGGATAAAAATCGAAATAATAATAATAATAATAATAAAAGTTAAAAAAAAGAAAAAAGAAAGTCCACCTTCAGTGGTTCTTGTTGCTGGAGGGCAAACAAGTCACTTCATTCCATGTCCCCAGTGGCCAGAAAGACCCTGAAAATGTCTGATATCTACAATTGTGCCTCCCCTTCCTTCTTGATTTTCGTGTCTCCGTTTCCCACTCTTCCTTGGAAAGGTCGATTACAAAGCAGACGAATGGCTCATGAAGAACATGGACCCTCTGAACGACAACGTGGCCACCCTCCTCCACCAGAGTGCAGACAAGTTTACGGCAGAGCTGTGGAAAGACGGTAGGGTGGTAGCGAAGGGTTAAACCAAGAGACGGAAAGGGTTTGCCTGCCTTGAATCTTTTACGTCTTTAATGCCTTTATTAACTGAATACTTCTTAACGTACCTTTAAGGCTCTTTGTGATCTCTCTGTCGCAGATGTTACTAACCTCTTCGCTATTCGTTCTTTCTCTTTTTCTCTCCTGATTCCCCTCTCCTGTCCCGCAATGGATGGCTTGGGGGAATTTCTCCTGCCCCTCTCCCCACCTGCTTAACCTTGTCCTGTCTCTAGAGATCCAGAACATACAGAAGGTCTATTTCTTTGACAGCTATGCCGTGGCACCTCAGGGTCCAGCGGAAAGTATGTCTTTTATTTCCCCCCTTTCTCACTTTTCCATGTCTGTTAAAGGAGAAGCAGGGGCACACTTGCGGGGGGGGGGGAATATATCCCTTCCTTTCAGCTTTGAGTTATAGGATTGGCTCTAGGTCCCATACAGTGCAGCTGTTCTTGGACTTTTGAACTGAACTTCTAAGGTCTCTCATCCACCTTGTTGTTCAGCTGCTTGGCTCATGGCTCACCTGCCTGCCTGTGACATCAGGGCAGCTAAGCCAATGGCAGCCCAAAGGTCCTCAGTGCCTTCCAAGGCCCACTGTGGTGTCAGAAGGAACCAGCCTCTCATGATCAGGTCGTACTTGCAGCCCGCTTGGATAGAACCTTCCTGCCTACTTCTGCTCTCTCCTTGTAGTTGTGATTTATGTGGATTGTGGACTAGGGCTGGCTGGCACCTAAAGGACTTTGCCTTGAGGTTGTGGGGGGGTTGTACTTGGCGGCCATCTTCCGGCTTCTGACTGTGCGATTCAGGTGTATCTGAATGTAATGGATTTGAAAAATAACGGTGCTCAACCTTTTACCTCAGGAAAACTCAGTGGGAATGGAGGGCAGTCGTTGTTGGAGGTGGGGGTGGAGTTGGGGGGGAGGGGCCGACAGCTCTTTAGCTCTTCTGGTTCTGATGGGTGGTCATGGAAAGTGCTGTCAAGTTGCAGCTGACTTATGGAGACCCCCATGGAGTTTTCAAGGCAAGAGATGAATTGAGGAGGCTTGCCGTTGCCCGCCTTTGTGTAGTAGCCATGGACTTCCTTCTCCCATCCAAGTATTAACCAGGGCAGACCTGGTAAAGTGTGTGTAAAGTGCCATGTAAAGCGTGTAAAGTGCCTGGTAAAGTGTGTGTAAAGTGCCATCAAGTCACAGCTGACTTACGGCAACCCCAGCAAAGGGGCTTTCCAGGCAAGTGAGAAGCAGGGGTGGTCTCCCATGGCCCTCCCGCTGCAGAGTGTTCCTTGGTGTTCCCCCCCTTCAAAGTACAAACCTTGTGTAGCTTCTGAAACCTGTTGGGCTGTACCGGTCCACCTTCCCTCCCATCTAGGTAGGAACAGATGGAAGTGCTGCTTGAGAGATTGAAAGTGTTGAGTTCCCCCCCCCCTTGCATTCTAGTGGACCGTATTGTGGGTCTGGACCAAGTGAGCGGCATGGGAGACCTCACCTTCGGCGCCTCGTACAAGACTAAGAAGGGGATGTTCCGCACGGTGGGGCAGCTGTACAAGGAGAGTCTCTCCAAGCTCATGTCAACGCTGCGCAACACGAACCCCAACTTTGTGCGCTGCATCATACCGAACCATGAGAAGAGAGTGAGTTGCTTGTCCGCGTGGTGGTCCTGTGGATGCGTGGGTACGTGTGGCAGGGCGGGGGAGGCCTAGGCCAGGATTAGGGAAGGTGACTCTCTCTTAGTGGCACGGTGCACTTTTCGTCAGGAGCAGCCTTGAAACTGAGTGAGAACTGCTCAGGCGGCCTGGCTGGAAGTGAGCAGGAGGGGAGGGGAGGGGAAGGGCATGGCTGTGAAGCCCAACGGCAGTGACAGGAGGGTGAGGGGGCTGTCTTGGTGTACTGTGGGACACCCCCACCACAAACACACACACACAGAGGCCATTGTCTGCCTCCTGAAGCGATCTCTGACCGGCTGTGCTTCTCTGGGACCCTCTTCCAGGCTGGAAAACTGGAACCCCATCTTGTCCTGGATCAGCTGCGCTGCAATGGAGTCCTGGAGGGAATCCGCATCTGTCGCCAGGGATTCCCCAACCGTATCATCTTTCAGGAATTCCGGCAGAGGTACCCAATATCCGGTTACTAAGCTCAGAGCCTCCTGGAGGGCAGTGACTTGCACCCAGGTAAAACTGGTCATGCTTGTCACCAGGGCTATTTTTGGGCAGGAACGCACAGGAACGGAGTTCCGGCTGGCTCCCAAGTTGGCCACGCCCAGCAGGAACTCATTAGTATAATAGGCCACACCCAACAACAGCAACTCATTAGGATTGGCTACAATTAGGGGTGTGTGGCCTAACATGCAAAGGAGT